CTACCGGAGGTTCCGTGCGGAGGACAATGAGCAAGGACACGGGTAGGACGGGGGTAGGACGGGGAAACCGCTTCACCTGTGAGCCACGCTGACCTCGTTGATTTTCCACATACCAGACACGGGCATCACGTCGATCCAAGTGTCCAGAAGGACATCCGGACCCACGTTCACTTCCCCTACAAGCAGGCTCCCTCCCGCAAGGCTGCGTTCGAAACCCAGGCCTCTGCCAAACCTCATGCCAACAAGAAAATAGCCAAGTGTGGTTCCCAGTAAGGGGCCGGGAGAAGCGAAATTCTGGGAATCGTGGCACCTATTAGCAAGGCCACGACCCCAGCACCGGGTGGCCAAGAGGGGGCGTCTCCAGGCACACGCTGCTCTGGACACAGCAGGAAGGACGGCCCGGGCTCAGTGCAACGACGTGCACCAACATCCTGGCCAGCAAGATGGGCTCAGGCGTCTTGGTGAACATTTTACTGCTCAGCCATCCCTCCGGAAGGCCAGGCGTTTTGCCTTGAACAAATCCAGGCAGATGTGCGGGGTGGGGGGCAGGTGAGCTGGTGAGCGTGTATTTCTTTGGGTCTCTGCGTTCCACAGCCAGAATCTTCCATCCGAGAGCCAGGCCCTCAGAGCAGCCTTCCCTCAGGCATCCCTCGGGTCCCAAAGAATCAGTCCCAGCTCCTCTGTACTAACGAGCCCACGTGTGCCCCCACCCCGGCACCTTCCCTAAAGCCGTCACTGTGTCCGTACACGCTCTGCCTCCTCCCCTGGTTGGTGAGCCCTTGAGAGGAAAGGCCAGCCATGGCGCACTCCCTGAGTCCCCGTGCCCAGCGCACCTGCCACGTAACAAGGAGAGAGACGGACAGAGAGACGAACGCAGAGGGCGATGCTGAGTCGCGCTTGTGTCCCGCTTTACCTCCCCCTCGTGTTTGGTTTTCTCATCACCGAGCATTTTGGGAACTTAGGAACCTACCTTGTACGGGTGAGAGCATAATACGGCCCAGGCCGGTGTAGCTCAGCAGTTGAGCGTCCACCCAGGACCCAAGTGGTCACCAGTTCAATTCCAGGTCAGGGCACATGCCCAGGTGGTGGGCTTGATCCCCAGTGGGGGCCGTGCAGGAGGCAGCCGATGGATGACCTTCCTCTCTCGTCAATGTTTCTATCTCTCTCCCTTCCTCTCTCTCTAAAAATCAACAAAAACATATTTAAATAAATAAATAAGTAGAATGACTAGATGCTCTGATAGGAGAGGTTCTGACCCGAGGCCCACCTCCCGGTGCCATACACTTTCCCCATGTGACGTCGCCCCCTTCAGTGACCTGGCTCCCCCGCCGACCCGCACCCAGTTCAGCGTCTCCGGGCCAGACCTCGGCCCTCGGCTCCAGACCACACACCCAGCGACCTCCTGGACGCCTCCATGTGGGTGGTCCACGGCACTTCCAGCTCAACCAGGCCCACGATGAACTGCTGT